CAATTGCAAAATAGTCCTTCGACTGAGGGGCACGATTGCAAAATAGTCCTTCAATTGAGCGGCACAATTGCAAAATAGTCCTTCAATTGAGGGGCGTCCTTCAATTCACAGGCACAATTGGCAAAACAGACCTTCAATTGAGGGGCACAACTGCAAAACAGTCCTGCAGTTGACGGGTACGATTGCAAAGTGGTCCTCCAATCCATGGGCGAAATTGCGAAGTAGTCCCTCCAGTGGACAGTCACAATTGTAGTTAGTTGCTTCCTTTGATCGATAGTGTGTCGGTTTCAACTGCAGGATAATCCAATCGATTGATCATGTGGTGTGTCGGTTTCGATTGCGAAATATTCCAATCGGTCGTGTAGCTCACGATTGCATAATAGTACATTGATTGAAAGTGGCGATCACGATTGCAAAATTGTGCTTCAATTGATGGTCACAGCTGCAAAATAGTCCTTCGATTCACCTTGAATCAATGGTGTAGATCATGATTACACCATAGTGCTTTGAGTGGCAGCGCAGTGTGCACAATTGCGAAATTGCCCTTCAATTGGCAGTCGCAGTTGCACCATAGTCCTTTTAGTGCCAGCAGTGCGCACGGTTGCAAAATCGCCCTTCAATTGGCGGTCACAGTTGCAAAGTAGTTGCTTAGTTGACGGGAGCAATCACGACTGCGAAGTAGTCTTTGAATAGACGTTTGCGATTGCAAGTGATGGCGGTCGCTAGGTGTGCCGCATGGGCTGTGTCTCCGAGCAACCGACTGACAGATCTCAATTCGAATCGGTTAAAGGGTGGTGCTTGTCTGAGTGAATCACCCAGCGCATGGAGAGTCCTTCCAGGTTCTCTCAGCTCTTCGTCTTCCTCAAAGGCATGTCCGGGTTTCTTTGGTGGAGATTCGAACACGCTCCTCTTTTCACCGGCGAATGGCGTTGATCGCGAGTGCTTCCACTGCAAGTCCAAGCCTGCCGTATTGCATAGATGCTCTGGAAGAGGAATCTCGTCTGGCCATTTTCGTGCTTGTGCGGCACCCTCAGCAGCACCCAGTGTGAACACGTCGTCGCCGGACTTGGCTGTCGAGTCACTCGAGCCATTGCTAGCCACGGAACCACAACCCAGCCAAACCATCGCCAAGGCGTTCGCACCGGCGACAGTTGCGAACCTTGGGCCCGGCTTTGACTTTCTTGGGTGCGCAGTGCAGGGTCTAGGGGATCATGTCGTAGCCGAACTGAGCGATCATGTGCCGCCTGGCGAGGTGGAGATCGAATCGATTGAGGGCGACGGCGGCCGACTCAGCCTCCTGCCGCTGAAGAACTGTGCGGGAATCGCCGCGAAAGCCACCCTGAGACTCCTGGGTGTGCGGTCTGTCGGCATCACCCTGCGATTGCTGAAGGGCCTGCCACTTGGCAGCGGGCTGGGCTCGAGTGCTGCGAGCGCAGCAGCCGCAGCCTGTGCTGTGAACGGTCTGTTCGGTTCCCCTTTGAGCGGGTCGCAGCTCGTGACCGCAGGACTGATATCCGAAGCGGCCGTTAGTGGTTATCACGCCGATAACATCGCGCCTTCGATCTTAGGAGGCTTTGTGCTGGTTCGGAGTATGGAACCCCTCGAGATCATCCCATTGCCCTGGGGATCTGCACGGGCGACGACGGGTCAGGACGCAGCAGATGGGGGGGACGCCAGGCGCTCGTCGCCGGTCTTTGTGATCGTCTCGCCGGCATTTGAGGCACCGACAAAGGAGATGCGCGCTGTCCTTCCTATGGACATCTCCATGAAGTCGCACATCAACAACTCAACGCAGGGTGCAGCACTCGTCGCAGCAATTTTGCAGGGAGACGCGAAGCTGCTCGGTGCGGCCATGGCGTCAGATGGCGTTGTGGAACCGAGACGCATAAGGCTGATTCCAGGAATGGCAGCTGTGAAGATTTCCGCGATGATGGCCGGTTCATTCGGTTGCACGATTAGCGGCGCGGGGCCCACAGCAGTTGCAGTGACTGATAGTCGTGAGAAAGGAGAGGCCATTGGTCAGGCCATGCAGAATGCCTTTCAAGCAGTTGGCAAACTGTCAGCGACGGTATCGGTTCAAGAGTTAGATACTGCAGGAGCGCGTTTAGTAGACCTGTGATCGAGAGAGAGAGAGAGAGAGAGAGAGAGAGAGAGACCGAGCAACGGCCATATGTTGCCCGACTGCTGGGCAGACGAGCACAGCTCTACGGACGAATCTTCCCTGACAGAAGGGAGGATACACAGCCCTCATCCGTCGAGCTCTCTCTCTCTCTCTCTCTCTCTGAAAAAAAAAAAAAAAAAGGTCTGCATGTCGAGAAAAAAGAAAGAAGGG